GGACAAATTTAACCAAGTGCTGCAAAATGGATTATCTTTTCTATTAACAAAACAGCCAGTCCAACGTTCCATTTCCAAATGCACTTAAGCTGTATTCTATTATTAACTGTTGCCAAATCCTTCCATGCACCCATTTACACTTGACATCATTCATTCTCTGTTGCCTCTGTTGTTCTTTTGTTTTGATTTGTCAATGCACTCCATTCCAATATGTCACCACCATGGAGAAACTTTTCTTTTTAATTTTTTTACATAGTTTAGTTTTTTTTATTATGCACGTTTTATATTTGTAAAATATAAAAAAACTCAACTCTCTCCTCACAACAAAATCGAGCACTTAATTTAAGCAACCAAAGCGGAGGCTGTGCTGGATTCGTATTTCCAGTTGGGTGGGAGGACACTCTTGGTCTTGTAGTAGCGGGCCAATCTGTGGATACGGGATTCAACCAAAATAAGACGGAATTTACCATCCTTATCCTTGCGGTTACGTTCCAAATGCTTGCGGATGGCAACAGCCTTCTTGATCATGTGATACAAATCTTCTGGGATATCGGGTTTAAGACCGACAGATTTCATGATGCGCAAAATCTTGTTGCCATTGACAAAGCGAACTTGAGCAACACCATGGGAATCACGAAGAATGATACCTGCAAACAACAATAACACACAAAATGAGTAATTATGCATTAAAAACGGCAAATTCATAACCTCTAACGAGACTTATGGAGCTAACCAAAACTTACCGATTTTGGAGGGGGTCAAACCCTTCTTGCCCAATTTCTTGATTTGTTCCTTAACATCTTCAGCGTTAAGTTTCAACCATGAGGGAACGGTTCTTCTGTAGGGTAAAGCTGATTGGGAAATACCCTTACTGTAAGAAGTAAACAAAACACATTCGACCGGTTAGTGATGCTGGTATTGAATTGAATAACCCTATGCAATGCCATGGTGGACAACATGGTCTACATCGGCAAGCAGATGAGCGGACGTCGTCTCACAAAAAAAAAGAAAACAGACCCGAACTGTCACACAATCCACATGCGCTAATTGACTTTCGCTTTTTTTTTGTTAGTTTTAAACAATAATTCTACACATTTTCCATTGTCACACATTTAGGAATTACATCCACTCATCTGGTTGGTCGATATTAAGGCATAATTCACTGAGAAATTCAAGAAAATCAAAAAATTACCCAGGAGCGTGCATACGACCCATCTTGTCAGATTTTTATTTCACACCAAAAAGAGCGAAACGGATGTAAAAATTGGAACACTATGGCGAAAAGCAGTGCTGCCAACATATGCATTGTCATTTCTATACGTTTCGAGACGTCGTACGCCCAACAAAATGAAAGCGTTGTTAAGGGGAACAACAATTGTATTAAAACATATTTATTTTTCATACAAAATGCAAATATATAAAATAATTTACAAAACTAAGTAGCGTTTTCTATGTATCACATAATAGTATTTTGAACAACAATGAGTCATTTGGAAAGTTAGAATATGAAGAGTACAATTTAGATTATTTGGAACGGTGTGGAATGGAACGGCTAACCGTTTAACATTTGTTTACATTTAGGCTATTATCCAAATTCATTTGTCATAGGTCGGTTATTACATTTTGCCATGGTACAATGAAATAAAGGTAACCTCATTTCAAATAAGCATTCCCAGCTCTGCATTTTTAGTAATTTACTTTGTCAAATTTCAATGCATATCTGATTTTGTGTGTATACAATGGATTTATAAAATATATTTTGAGAATACAATGTTGTCAAATGTATAAATTTGACAAAATTGTAAAACTTTATTAAACTTTATCTTCTTAGTTCTACCATGCATTTTTCCATAGATTAAAAATTATGTTGTCGGACTAACAAAATGTTCTTTGATACAATTGCCATTTAAATATCAACTAAACGATAAGCAAAATGTCAGACCATCTTTCTTGTATCTTTTAACGTAAAGTTTACTGAATGCAATATTTTATATTGATAATATGATAATAACAGAAAAAATTATTCAAATAAAAAAATTGATAACATACTTGCAGAAATAATTACCGATTTATTTCACGAAATTAATTACAAATTGTTTTGTTTATTTTATGTGTTTGTTTTCTCATTCGAGACGAGCTTAATGATCTGAAATTTGCAGTGAAAAGGAAAGCCAGATAGACACTATCACACACTCACCACTATGCGACGCGTTTCGCCGTTGGTTAAGCGGCTCATCAGGCATATTTGGTGTGGATGAAGGCTTACAAGGGCCGTTCTCTTGAAAGTAGTATATATTTCGAACTTATTGCAAATTAGCATATGCGAATTATACACTAGAAACTAAAATGTGAAAAAATAGTGACTACTAGTTACATTTACAAAAAGTAATAATTTTATTGCAATATATCTGAGAAAATGCATTCATTTAAAAGGAGAGATGTAAACATGGCAAAAGCATAAAGGAAAACCATGATAGAAGAATACAGGTAATCGCATCGACACAGCTCCTGAGACAATGAACTGCCAAATCAGTTTGGGAATTGAAATTTTTGAATGAAAAATTATTCAAATTTGTAAAAATTATTAAAAATGCATATCATAACAACTTCCGATTGACGTCGTTTAGGAACACATATACAAATCTACTTAGATTTGAAGAAACATTAAAACAATTTTGACATATCAATGTTCCCAAGCGTTGTATTCTTCTACCATATTTGCTAAGGCTACAAATACATAAAAAGCTTGAAGTCATGGCTAGGCATATTAATGCCAAATTATAATGAAAAACGACGGCAGGATTTTATTGCCGCTCTGTAAATCCTTTGTGAAATGTCGCAAAATAGGCCGTGCCATGACTTCAAGCTTCTTATGTACTTAGCCCTTAAATTAAATATGGCAACCTTTTTCTGGCGAACGTATAACGAGTGGCAGATTTTACAAGTGTAATAAATAATCTTTTATTTTCGGCTTTCCTTGACACGTAAAAACAGTTTTAAGTTCCATATCTTAAGAATACCAAATTTATTTATTTGTTCTTGGACTCATGGCTCTATAAGAAAGGTTACTCAACTTTAAAGAAGTTAGAAAAATACAACTATGTGCTCGAGTCATAAAGAGTCAAATAGACTTTTAAATATGCAACAGTAGGGTTTGTTTATTTTTCCGTCTTTTAACATAATTCTTATATTGGGGAAAATCCGCGAAACAGGAATGGAGTTTTGGGGATATTCCACAAGATTCCCAAAATTGTACAATGTGTTGCTCATTAACATCGAATATATGCATGAATTTTGTATATGTACAACGGGAAACGACGGCCAAATTCGATCGCCGCTCTGACTTCTCTTTATGTACTTACCCCTTAAGTCTGATAAGTCATGTAAGACTAAAGCTAGGAATACATAAAGCGCATATTTGGCTGGCTTAAGTCATCGGCTGGCTTCTTCGTAGATGAACAAAGGAGTTTTAGGTTGACCTAGTTCGATTTTGGCCCTAGGCTCCTTTGTTCATTTCCGAAGAAGCCAGCCGATGACTTAAGCCAGCCAAATAAGCGCTTTATGTATTCCCAGCTTAAGGCTGGAAATACATAAAGAGCATATTTTAGGTTGACTTAGTTCGATTTTGGACCTAGGCTCCTTTGTTCATTTCCGAAGAAGCCAGCCGATGCCTTAAGCCAGCCAAATATGCTCTTTATGTATTTCCAGCCTAAGTTCGGCATGTCCCAGTAGTCGGCACTTTTTATTTTTAAGCCCAAATAAATGAAACTATTATAACTAAATGTATTTTGTTTACTTCAAGTATATTGTCAGCTATCTTTGTGTACAATTTCGCTAAGAAAAGATGATTTATTCTAATAAAAATTAAATTTTTGTCTGAGAAGGTCCTCAACAATCCATATTCTTAAGAAAAGTACAATAAAGACGTCGAATCAGTTTAACTAAACAAAAATATTATATTTTAATGAATTAATTTATTATTATTATTAATTATTCTTACAAAAAATTGGTATGCCGACTGTTGGAACATGCCATACCGACAATTAGCAAGTGGTGCCGACTACTGGCAAAAAAGCATTGTTTTAATAAAACTACAAATTTATGAAATTTAATACAAAGTTATTAAAACTTTATTTATTATTGCAAAAACTATACAAAATTTCGAATCTGAATAAATTAACTTTGTAATAATTGAAAAGTTCCACTCAGAATTGTGAGCGATTAAAATCACGAAAATCCTAAAAGTGCCGACTACTAGTACACTTACCCTATGTCAAATCCTGATAAATTTATGTTGATTATGAATAGCTATAATGAGTGGATTGCTTTGTTAAACACATACTTGTGTTTTCTCGTACGACTAAACTAGTAAAACAATTTAAAACATGCAAAACTACTACATAATTGCATGGCACGATTACAGATGGTAGAACAAAGCTACCCCCAACATACAACTTTTTTCTCTTGGTGTCCTTATTCTGTCAAATAATATACACAGTCTGTGTTTGTGTTTCGAATAAAAAATACAACAATTTGAAATTATTTGAACTTTGGTTGCAAAATAAATGCATGTTTTAGACGTTTATGGACAACACAATGTACAATTTGGGATAAAACTATATTGTCCTACCTTTTTTAGATGCAAGCTTATGGAATAATCCCAATATTCCATTCTTGTTTCGCTGGATTTCCAAAATATAAGAATTTTGTTTAAAAAAACCAACTGTTGTATATTAAAAGTATATTTGACACTATAAGACTACAGCACAGAGTTGAATTTTCCTTGTTTCTTTGAAGTTGAGCAAACTTTCTTATTGAGCCATGCACAGTTGCAACTTCTGAAACGAAGAATATATGTAAACAAACTTTCAGCTCATTTAGAATGTCTGCCATGAAACATTTTTTTGAATCGCAGCTGTTGAACCCACCATCATTTACGACTTATTGCCAAAATACAACACTGATTTAGCCAACATCAGTGCTGACAACATTGAAATATCTAAATTCTACACTAGCACGACCAGAGACCAAGCGAACACAAGCTGAAGTAAAATATAAATTAATGAAATAAAATCTTAAAATATGCTGCAAAAACGCATGACTGTTCTCTAAAAATACAAAAAAGTATTACAACTAAATACCAACAAGATCCGTGCTATGAAAAGTGTTTAAAATACGTGTTATTTGAATAGAAAAAAATCAATTGAAAAAGTGCCACAATTCAAACACCAAGAAGAATGAATACGAAAAAAGTCGAAATCTCAATGATATACTAAAAAAAGAGGGAATGCAAAGAATATATCAGAACAGAACTTGCTACACTTGGGCAATCAGAAAAGACCGTATATTCTTAATGTAGCATTGTTGTAAAATTATAACTTTTTCCCTTCATAATTACATAGTTTCAAACTTATTAAACTGAAGAATAAATCGTGAGTTTTGCTGCTGTAACAGATTGGCTGCGGTAGCAGTCAGCCGCACGCACACTCTCAAACAAAGCACGTCGTGAGGAAAGCAAAAATAAGAAAATTTGCGATTCTTGTAGAGTATAAGCAAAAGACAAAAAGCCGTGCGGTGTCTGTGTACATACACTTTATCCACGTTTAACCAATCGCTATTAAACAAACACCGTCACTCTCCCACTCACACCTTCATTGTAAATTACCGCCCTAGCGGCCGGCCGGACCGTCATAAACGGCCAACATTTGGCAAAGTATTGAAGCGACCCGCAATAAAAACAAATAAAATTTGTTTCTAGTATTATTTACATTTCTAAAAATATTGAGAATAAAGACCTAATTTTAAAGCGACAAGTTCCTTATACCGTACCGTACGTTGTATGTATACTACAAAACAGGAAGCTACGCAAAATCTCCCTCATGTTACAATTGAAGAAATAAGCGATCGAAGAAAGTAATAAACAGTGTAAATCGAATTGAAAGTCCATTAACATGGCTGGAGATTCCAGTGACTCAAGTGATTTGGATACCCGACCATCGAGTAGTAAAGGTCGTTATCCTACGCGGGGTGAACAGAAGCGTAAACGTCGTATTGTAATGCGTATTGAATTTGATGATTCCGATGAATCGTCTTCTACAACAGGTTCTTCTAGCGATGGCGAAGAAATAGTCATCCGCAAAGGTCAGAAAAATAATAGAAAGAAAGATCTTACTGATGATGGGCCATCGTGTTCACGCCGACTTCGTAACCGGCAAAATCAGAAAAATGTATCTGCCGGCACCGAAAACATCAATGGCAGCAGCAGCGGCAACAACAAACACAGTTCAGCCGCTGTTGTTTATGATGATGACGAAGATTCTGACGAGTTTCAACGCAATGCTGCACAGCGTCGTCAACGCGGTCGCCGAACCAACGTTTTAGATGTTGGTCTCTCTGATGGTTCTACGAGCGGCAGTGAGGTAATAAAAATAAAACTTTTCATTATTGTTTACACGTTTTTGGAGTGAATAAATCACAAAAAATATATTCACATTTCTCTTTTTTGTTAATAACCTGATTACGTATTTCACAATTTAAATTATATACTGTAAAAATAGTATATTGTACAAAGGTATTTATTATTGTAATGATCCATAGTAGTGTGTTAATTTACGTTTTAAAAATTAATGCATATATTTAATATAAGAATTCAATTAGGTACATATTGAAATTGTGTAAAACTAAAAATTTGTCTGCTTCGTAGTGCAAAAAAAAAAAAAAAACAAGGCTCTTATATATTTTCAACTACTAGAAAAAAATCATGCCATAAGAGTTTTCTGATCCAAATATAACAAAAGATTTATTTACGTCTCTTGTTAGAGCTATTTGGAATATGGTTCCGTTGTATGGGATCCTCAATGTGATAAAATATAATCTGATAAAATAAAATCAGTGCAAAAACAATTTCTACGTTTTGTTTTGAGAGATCTACATTGGAGTAGTGATTTTGTTTTACCTTCTTATACTAACAGGTTAAAGTTAATCATATTGCCTACACTAAACGTATTATATTGAACTCAATGATGATACTAAACATATTTAATGGTAATATACCTTCAGATTTCGTAATTTCATCTATAGAATTGAAGTTCCTTTTAGTTTTAGTAGATACTATCAATTATTATACACCGATTTTCACCGCACGAATTATTCAATGGGTGAACCTCTTTGTAAGATTTGATTTGATTTAATTCAGTTTACTGTAATGTTGATTTTAGTATGGGCCTAAAAATCATAAAATCTAGAATAATTTTATTTTTAAACGACTAATATATGTAAGTTGCATTATTTTGACAACTAGCTGGTGAAATAGATTCTGCAGTTGGTTTTCGAATTCCTACTTAATTCCCAACATGATGCGGGTCGTGATGAGTACACGATCCCTACGAAAAGGGAGGCCGGTAGGGGTGACAAAGCGAGGCGTGGGAACGTTCGATATAAAAAAGAGATGTAGGATCCATAGGCGTTATCCATGTCCACATCATTCTATGGAGGGCATATTAACTTTGTCATTCCGTTTGTAATTCCTCGAAATATTCATAATAGACACTACAAAGTATATATATTCTGGATCAGCGTAAAATTATAAGACGATATAGCGATGTCCGTTTGTCTGTTGTAATCAGGCTTTCTTTCGAACGAATTGAGCTAGAAGGCTAAAATTTTGCACACATGCATAGTTTACCAGTAGGCTGGTTTAATTTGTAAATGGGCCATATCGGTCCACGTTTTCGTATATCCTTCATATAACGGAACCTCGGGATATTCAGTATTTTCATGATATTAGCGTAATTCAAATTTCATATTTAAAGTTCGTAATGGGTACTACAGCCTATGACAAAAATTTTTATCTGCAGGTCCACCTCTCCGTATAGTCCACATATAACGGTTCCTCTCGATATTCGGTATTTTCATGATTTCAGCGACATTATTTACCGGAATCATTTTAAATTTTGAATTTGAAGTTCGTAATGGGTAATGCAGCCTATATAGCCACCATATAACGGTAACTCCCGACATTATTCACTGGAATTGTTTCAAATTTGGTATTTGAAGTTCATTCAGCCTATTTCAAAAAATTTCGTAGGCAGGACCACGTCTTCTTATAGTCTCCATATAACAGTTTTCATTTAAGTGGTAGGTTCAGGAAGTTTTTTGAAAATTTTCAAGTTCCTTTCAAATGGTGGACTTTGCTGCTTTTTTACTTGTTTATATTTACTCATTGTGACGAATAAAATGTCTTAACCTAAGTATAGTGAAAACTCATGTATGGTTTATAGGTAGTCGTTTTTGTTCTCATTACGAAAAAAATTAGTAAAATTGGAGTGTATACTGTAATTTTGGATACATTTTGGAATCCCCCGCTATGGCGTTATCCATGTCCACAAAGACGTATTGGTATATACTCCGACCCTTTCCGACCTCCTTTCAAATGATACCTATAAGGTGGAAATTAATTTAATTTTAATTTTATCCGATCGTTTGTGTCAAATATCCCGTTAAACGGGTTTGCCCTCCAAGAAAGAACTCATAGAATTTTACTGGAGTTGTTCTGAAGTGGGATATTTGAATTTGGGTCAACATTTTTATAGTCATGAGTCTTTCGCCAAAGTGAGCAATACAGTGCAAGTCATTCCACTTTAGATTTAGTAACATATAATGTTGATTTGGTCCACTCGGAGACTTCTGACCCATTGTGATCATTCTGACATTGCTGTGAAAGGCGAATGGTTCCATTGCTTTGCTTTCAGACGCGTAGTTGCCTTCAAACAACTGTTACACTTGGAGACCTGTGTATATCCAATATAAACAAATGAGAACATAGAAAAAAAGAGAAACAGTTTGCTTCCCCCTAAGCCTGTTTCTCACACCGAGGAGAGTTTGATAGTGACAGAATTCTCGACCTCAATAACGATTGACTCCGTTCGGTCTTGCCAATTCATCTGCTGCATCCTTACCAGAAATGCTGCAATGGTCTTACCTTACTTAACTCTTTCCAGTGCATTCCTCAACTCCAAAACCGTTGTAGATTTAATGACGAATGCATTTAGTGGGTTCAGGGCCGCTTGTCTATCGACATATACAGTCACCGGACCGTTAAGTTCCCTGTTGTTATTTGCCAACAGATCTATGGCTTTTTTGATAGAAAAGATTGCTGCTTGGAATACGCCAAATTCGTTCCAAACGGGTGCAGACGTCAATGACAAATATGTGAATCTCAAGTTGCTCGTAGTTCAACAGTGGTGATATGTAATCACAGGTTTGACTCCGCCTCCTAAACGTCTTTACAAGACCTAAAATCACAGAATATTCAAAGCATTAGCTGCGCCATTGCTTAAGTTCTCAGAATCTTAGGGCGCACATGACTGCTTGTTCCAATTACCTAAAACATTGCCGGTGTCGAATGGGGCTTGGATATCAAAACATTCAGAAAGATTGAGCTCACAATATAGAGCATGTATCTATAGGGGGCCGAAAGTCTGGTGTTATCGCTATATAGGTACTGTCTGTCGCATTAAACAAGGATCTTTTCAATATTAACATATTTCTGGAGCTAAAACAGAATGAACACGTTTTTTTGTAAATCATATCACTTGTCGTTAAAACGACAAACGACGAAATATTTCTTTATTAACATTGACACTGAAGATCTTCTTTTTTTATTGCTGATCTCCTTCTGCTTCGTGAACAATTTATAAACTCTCTTTTTCCCCCTCACAATTATTTATATATTGTATATTTCTGAGTGTTGATTTTGGCAGAATGCTGCCCTGAGAACTGCAACAGAATGGCTCCTCATGACACACGAAGAGGCGAAAGTCCTCCCGTACGTCTGCATAACCATATGTTTTCGTTGCAGTACCTTCTTGGGTGCTATTATGGTAGTCATCCAAACCACCATCACTATATAGGGAGGGAGGTCCAATGCTAAGAGACAGAGCCTTTGGATTAAGAAGCATATAAGGCAGGTCTTAGTAGTTTTCACATTGATGCAGTCAAATATGCAGTAAGAGTGACGTGCTAGGAGCCCACCCCATCCATTGCAGCTGAAGAACGTTGGCTGTCTAGACAAGCCAGGGAATATTGTCACAATTACGTTCAGGATGATGCAGTCGACTCAACTTGTATTAGGCACGTATGGACGAAAATGTGGGTATCGTACCTACCTTTTTCACTCCCGAAAATCTTTGGCTGGAGCCCGCGAAAGTAGTCGAATTTTTAAACTTGGAAACCGTATTCGCTGAAATCGAACAACTACAATACATAAAAAAGAGATATTAAAGAACTATTCCATAGACAAGATTAAATACAAATAACCACTCGTTGTTAATCAAGCCACAGAAAATACGTAGATTCGTTTTATCACCAAAAAACTTAGAGCATATATAAGTGAATGTGATTCGGAAATATACCCTTTTTGATGAAAGATTCCGTGACTTGGTGGGATGAATGGATTGCATTTTCAACTTCAAGTGGAACGAAGAAATTAGTACTGCAACTAATTAATCCTCTTGAGTAAAAAGTGTATGAGATGGATCTGTTTGAAAACGAGACTGCCGAGTGGCAAATATTGTCAGCGTACTTATTTGTATAAGCTACAAGATCCTTTTCATATCACCAAATAAGAAGAAAAACATTTGCTCCATTTTCTTAATCTTTTAACTTGCTGCATATGTTTTCCTAGTGGGCACGCACGCACCATAATTTTACATATCGATTTTTAAAGAATCATCATTATTACTATTAGATCTTTATATGACTATTATTTTTCTGAGTCCGGATCTCTATGGAAATCCAGAGTTCAATATATTATTCAATCTGATAATGGAGAATGCTTTATAGATCGAATATCAGGTTTAGGACACATCTTACAGTTAAGGAAGAAGGGGTCCATTTTATTTGTGTAAGAGAACTCCCAATATTCACACTTAGTTTTCTGGTAATAAGGAACTTATCATATACGTCACTGAAACACGTCATGCAGCAAACAAATATGTAATTAATAACTTCTATTTATTAATTTCTATACAAAGAAAGTCTCAAAGGTCTTTTATAAGAATATTGTTAGAAAGTATGCTAGAGAAGTAAGATTAATAAAAAATCGAAAAAAGAATAGCCGGTTCCATCTTTGAAACTTGAGGGGCCGATAGACACTATGCAACACACTTCGCCGTTTCACAAGGGCCGTGCTTTGAAAAGTGGTATTTATTTCGAATTTATTGCCATAAAGCATATACGATGTAAACACCAGAACAATAAATGTACGACTGTTTTCTATATTATGCTGCCACAGGACGACGGGTTAAAGGCTTTGAACGTTGAGACTTCAAAAATTTTTTCCCTTTTCAGTTTCAAACCTAAAAGCAACGACTAGACTAATATCCTCCAGTATTCTCCAGTTCTCTCTCCTTATACCTTACTGGATCTTAATGCAGATTCTGGGGGTAAAAAGACAGAATTATAGAGAATAATTTTTTTTTTATTGAAGCGAGAACCAAACAAAAATGCAAAATGTTCTGCATCACAGAAATAACTTTATTGAATGAAAGCAAAAAATGTCGGAAATGTCATCACATTTTAGAATAAGTTTAGATTTGTTCGAATTGGTCAAATTTGGCACGAATTATTGCCTTCAAACGGCCAATGAAAACGTCACACGCTGCCCGAATGTTGCTCTGCGGTATTTTGTCCCATTCCCGGGGCGATCGACACTTCGGTATTTTTTAGTACCAACCTTGCTTTTCAATATAATCCAGACACAATGGTCCAACGGATTGGTATTCGGATATTTTGGTGGCCATTGTGCGCTGGAAATGATATTTTCGCGAAAATATTCGGCATATATTCTGATGCCACGGTCGATTAATACGAGCGGAGAGCGACCATCGGCTGTTATGGCGGCCCACACCATCACCATGGCCGGCGCTTGAGTTCTGGTGGCCAACCGAAGGTGCACATTTTCAGCTGACCTCTTTGGCAAGTAAACACGATCATTTTGTTTATTTACAAACTGCTGGACAACGAATGTTTTCTCATCGGAGAAAACCAAATTCGGCAGTTGACCACTTTCGTCCAAACGAAGCAACTCTTTAGCTCTTTTCAGTCTATTTTATTTCTGTTGCGGTTTAAGTTCTTGCACTTCTTCGAATTTCAATGGCTTTACCCCTAGCTCATTTTTCAATATGTGCCGAATGGAATATTGCGATATGTTCAGCTCACGAGTCATTTTTCGGCCACTGCGGCGCAGGTTTCGATCAAGTCGTTTCTTTACTTTTCGAACCATTTCTGCTGATGTTGCTATTTTCTTCCCTCCACTTCCTTGACGTCGGGCTACGCTACCAGTATCGCAGTAACGGGCGATGGTACGAGACACAAAATATTTATTCACATTTAAATGTTGGAGTGCTGTAACGATAGCCACTTGTGGTTTTCCAGCTAAATATAAAGAAATCACACTATCACGCTTGAATTCCATCAGGAATAACTTTTTCTCTGGAAAATGCTTTTGTGCGCTTGTAAACAATGATAATGAACTGTCACTGGAATAATTTTAACAGCTGTCGAACGAGTGTCTTAGAAATGACAACAGTCTGAAGTTGGTTGCAGTTTTTTCATCTCACCTTGTATATTCAATTTTTTTCTTTTAATGAAGATAGTTATTGAAATTTGAAAACATATCAAAGTGATTTTCACATAAAATATCTGTTTTTGCATCAAATACCACTAAAATGTGTTCAATTCCGCCTCAATAATTTCTAAATTGAAAGACTAATTGATCAAATATTAAAGTAATACTATCTAAAAACATTACCTATTACCATATTACTTCGTTAGGTTAAGATGAATATTTAGATGTGTTAAAGATCCAAAGGATCTAATCTTTTGGTATAGTTATAAAAACGTACATTTTAACGAATTTTAATTTACAGAGTCTAAAATAAATTTTAGTTCAGCCTTAAAACTGAGGCTCATAATATGATACGCGGGGCTATAGATATTTTACTACTTATAAGTATATTGTTTGTTCCAAATAATGTTTAATTCCAAATAAAACGTAGCTCACGTTTGCTTTTACATCTGCATACAAAATATACATATTTTTTGTGTGTTCAGAATAAAACCTATGTGTATAATAATAGTCAAGAAAGTTTACTTTATAAAAATATGAAATTCACTAACCCAATGTTATATCTTGACTGCGTAGACTACGACTAACAACTTCAGTTTAGTTTTTCTGGATTACCCCACTAATAAAGAGGCGTTGGTATTATTAGGAACAACAACAACAACAACAAAGTGTAACAATTATACAAAACAATAATAGTATCCCAACAAATTAAATCCATCAATATACGCCGACCAATATTCAAAGGCAGCCAAATAAAAATCCTTAACTGTTTTTTTTATTGGTCTATGGATTGAAATTGTATCTGACATGATATAAATTTATAGCACATATAGATGACATGTAGTTTGTATCCAAATATAATGACTAAACAAATTATAGTTTCCTGTGGGATATTAATTCTAAACAATTTACACAAAAGTGTCACAGAAAACAAAGACCAATACTAATTGGGCGAAAAAAAAAACTACACAAAAGAAGCAACATCATCTTCATCGAGATTAATATTTATTTTCTTTTTGCTTTTCATTTTCTTTACAGATAACAACTAACAGTAAAAAATCGCGCGGTAAAGCAAAGAAGAAATACATCATGTCAGAGGATGAGATCGATCCAAAAAATATCGAAGGCGCTCAACAACCGCAAGATGAGAATGGCTTCACATCAGATAGCAGCAGCAATGACATGTTAGAAAAATGTCCGATTTGTTTGCTATCGTTTCGAAAACAAGAAATCGGTTCACCTTCGTCGTGTCAGCACTTGTTTTGTGCCGCTTGCATTGAGGCATGGTCGAAGAATGTACAAACTTGTCCTATCGATCGTTTAGAATTTCAACGTATTATCGTGCGCGAATCGTTTGAAAATCGTAGAATTGTCCGTGAAATAAACGTTGATCCGAACGCGGCTAAAGAACTAATATTGATCGACGATGATGAAGAACTCGAGGATGTTACCAATTGTGAGATCTGTGGTAGACCTGATCGCGAGGATGTCATGTTGTTGTGCGATCAATGCAATCAAGGCTACCATATGGACTGCTTGTCCGAACCATTGACGGAAATTCCGGAGGGTTCATGGTATTGCGATAATTGTGTCGATTCGGAGGATGACGAGGAAGACGATGAAGATTTGAATATGCTTTATGAAGATATTAGAGATATGGGAATACCCGAAACTCATCTAAGAGTCAGGGAAGTTCATCAACCGAGGATTCTGAGAACGAGACAAAATGAACGCATTCGGGCTGCTGTTTTAAGACGTACCAGGGCCAGTGTATCGGCGATGGAAACTACAACAACGACTACCACGACCAGTACAACTCAGAGGGGAAGACCACGTACCACCACAACTACTACGACAACAACACGACGTACTACCAACAGAAGCGTCAGTGGTTCCACTCGCAAAAGGCGTAAAGTGCGAAGAAGCCGAAGGCCACGACAACGAACTTACGTTGTTGAGTATGATGTCAACAATTTCGATGAGAAATTTGCTATTAAAGCAACCAAAAAGGTCATAAGAAAACGACGCAAAGCACGTCGCTCCTCTAATAAGACAAGATCGTCCAGATCGTCAGGACGTGGAACACGCTTGACAGCAAGCCAACGTTTGGCCGAACAGTTGGGTGTTAAAACTGATCCTACATTTACCTCCCATCTATCGGGAACAAGTGCAGGGCTCTCCATTACAGGTGGTGCCAATGATCTAGAGTATTTTTCGGATAGTGACACTGGCGGAAACATTGAAAGTGAAATCCACATAGAAACTGGGCCAGGAACAGCAGTGCAGACATCCGTAAGAATATCAAATTATGGTTCGCAAAGGTCACGTAAAGGTTTAATACTTGGCCGTGTTGGTCCACGTCACATCCCCGAACCGGTGGCCAGTCGTGATAACGCTAATTCCGACATTTTGTCCAGCATAATGGATTTACAAGACCGTTGGCACAGTGCAAGTCGAAATTTAGAAAATGTACACATCAATACCGATGGTACCTTAAATTTGCCTAGATCTGAGGAAAGCAACGCAGATAATCATTCTCATTCATCTGCCCCGCCAAACCAAACAACTACACCACCCAAAAAATCTGATGAAAACCGTCAAGGTGAAAGTTCTGCTGCCCCTAAATCGGCATCAAATGGTTCCCAGCCAAATGAAATAACACAAGCGCCAATGTATTCCCGTGGCGGCGGAAATCCAAACTTTAACTCTGGCGGTGGTGGTTACAACAACCGTTATGGTAATAATCAAGGCAACTATCGTGGCGGTGGTGCTGGTGGTAACCAATATCGTCCCTCTGGCGCTGGGGACAGTGGCGGTCGTGGCGGCGGTATGAATTTCAATATGGTCGGACGTGGAAATTTCAATTTCAGTTCTGGCGGGCCATCAAATTTTAACAATCAAAGTCCATCGGGCCCTGGTTTTACACCCTTTAGACAATGGAACTATAATCAGCGCAATCAACAGAACGATGAAAACAATCAAAATAATAATCGACGAAATTCCATGCCGTTCGGTGGTGGTAATCAACAGAACGATAACAATAACCAATCTACACAACCATCGCAACAACAACCACAAAATCCATTCAGTGGACCACCACCCCAACCCTGTTTTCCTCCACCCAATCGACAACAATCGCAACCACAGCGTCCAAATGCAGGCACATCGGATGATCTGTTTGGTGGTTTGCCACCACCCGTAAGGCAAATCCCTGCACCAGTTGTTTTAAGTGTACCACCTCCACCAACTCCTCCGGCAATGATGGTACATCCTCCTCCTAGTGGTGCCCTGTTTCAATTGAATTCCGACTATGGACGCGACGATGATTCGAATTGTCCGAATTTTGCTATTTACTCGCAGGAATCTCAAGAAGTCGCCAAATCAACAGAAGCATATCCCGACAACAAAGCATCTTCAAATTCTGCCAATGAGGCTAAGGTATGATGTGTATTATTTTAAAATCCTTTGTATAGTTATTATTTGTTTTCATTTTAACAAAATATGGAGTAAATTTTATTCTTAATATAAATTGTGTGAATATTTTGCAAAATTTTCGATATTTCTTTTCGAAGTTATGACATCGTTAAGGGGTTTTTTGGATAATCCGTGAACTCAAATATAAAACTGATGTTTTTGCAGCATTTAGTTTTACCTATTTGATAATGAACTACATTTTTCATTGACGAAAAGAAACTTCTTTCCGTGATCTTAAGAAAATATATCCGATAGTTTGATCTCAATTGAACCATTAGAGGAACTATACATATGCTAATGAACTTCAATCACTTTGTGTTGTGTTCGAATTGGCCACAATATAACTCCAAACGAAAATTCTCCATAACCAATATAAAACGACGAACCTCGCCTCAGTTATATAATCAGAAATTAAGCTCAACAAGTATCATCACACGCATGCACTATAGGACAAAAAAGCAATTATACTGGCCATAAGTTCTATAATTAAAAAATATTTTATTGTTGCAAAATGGTCAGGCTTTCTCCCTTTATTGTTGTTTTAATAAAAACTACGTTTGTTTATTAGTGGAGAACGATGGCAATGTTTACCAGGGGATAAGTCAGGGAATACCTAGGTTTCGGAATGAGCCACCAATCCTCATCAGTTCCCTTGTTTTTTGTCTGGGATTTTGTCCCCAGAAGTTATTTAAAAAAATAACTTCTATGACAAAAACATTTTTTACCCAAGTGAGGAGATCGTAAGCTCAATAGAAGAGGAACCAAAAAATTAAATAAAACTAAAATTATTTTGGAAAATCTTCTAAATCTTACAACCACCCTTATAAACATTTACATCTTTTTATATCAGAATTGCATTCTTTATATTTGAATTGCCTTTTCAGCTGCGAAATAAAAAATTGGAAATTTAATTTAACCTCATAGATACTTAATCCTTTAGGATTCAATAATGGAAAGTAGTCTTCAAAATCGAAGGCATCGATATCCAATAGTCCCAAACTATTTTCAAATGTGTATGCTTTTAGTTTTAAAGTAAAGTTGTGTCCACACTTTTTGGTTTTCCTATTTCTATATAATACAAAGGATTTCTGTGCCATCTCCACTTTGAACTGTGGGCTCTTACAGACTTTTTGTATTTTATGCTCTAAATAACATGATTTTTTTTGCAACATAATTGGGAGTGTGATCCAACCCAAACTTAATAAAAGATATTAGAAGTAGATTCTGCACCAGTCAATAAAACTAATTCCAATTTGCGCAACAATAACCAAAGGTTGCCGAAAAATTTTTAAGCCGAAATTGAATTATTCCAAAAAATTGTAAAGAAATGTGACAATTTTGACTTTTGACCAGTGAATGAGGTTTTTTGACATATAGAGTGGAGTGGTGGATGAAGATATATCTTTTGAGATTATTGACAAAATAATAAAAAAAATTCACGGAAACTGCATAGATATTCGTTAGTACCTTTATGACTTGAATAATGATAGACAATTCAACAACTCTTTTATAATTAGTATATTTTTTGAAAATCTATGTTATACATACAGGGCCCGTCAAATAAATTTTTAAAAATGCTATAGAAAATACGTAATATTTTTTTTCAAATTTTTTAAATTTGAAAGTACAATACTTCCGCTTAGTAGCGGAAAATAGTTTCATTCAAATGGTTGCCTCGTCTGCTCATGCATTAGACTACAACATTCGTCCAATTTTTAAACACTTCGATTGTGTGCAATGGCTTTATGAATACTATCCTTTAAAGCGTCGAATGTATCCGACTTGTCAAACAACATCAGCTCAAAACAGGGCTCAAAACATCGAGTGTAGATTCGATTGTGTGACAGGTAGCGTCGTCCTATTGAAACCAAATGTTGCCTCAATTTTCATTAACAAAAATTCGTTGAACATTGCCCGATAATGTAATGGCCACTCCTTGCTAATTTTCGAAGAAAAATGGCCTAAATATGCATCTGGACCAATATCCGCCTCCGGATATATTTGTGCAGATTTTCTGTGCCCCAAATGCGACCATTTTGATTGCACACAATCATATTCCTTCAGCGCAAGCATAAAACAAATTATATTTCAAATCGAAATTAAAGGGGAGCGTTTTTAAAGCAAATGGGTTTCCTGTAAAAATTCATAAATATGAAATAATTGAGGAAAATTTATCAAATCGCAATATGTACCCAAAATTACATTTTTCATTCAACGAATCGCCTACAAAAACTATACAAATAATTTTCTTTTTTTTTAGAAGGGTTTTGAATTGTTTTTGCATATTTTGGCATTTGAATATTATTTATTTGTCAGTGCTGCAAAAGTACATTACATAATCTACTAGAATATCGTATAGAATACGTAACAAGGACTATCTTAAATTCGACTTGGCGTGCAATATAAAATTCAATTTCACACTATACGAAATAGCTTTGTACGGCCGAAATATCCAACTGAGTGTTCCAACCTACTAAATTTTAAAAATTTGAAGTATTGATTTCCAACCAATTGTTTAAATCAAAAATTTGAAAATCACTCTCTATGAAAACTTTGATACTATACGGTAATAGTCGATTGATACTAACGGTAATAGTACCGATAACATCGGAAATGTCGAATGTAGCAACTATTGATATACCATATACAAAATTTTTTTGCCGGCGAAATCGAACTTTAATTTTAACTTTTGAACAAACATATCTAAAAAAAATATATAATCTCATATTATCAGTCACGGGGTTTCAAAAATAAGCAGTAAGCAGCAGTAAGGTGTAAAACTTTATTTTAATATATTGAAGCGTTACACAAAAATGTACCAATGCTTATTTGTCCTTCTGAGCTCTAAGTTAATGTATCACGGCAAACCCAACCGCAGAAACAAAGTTGTTCCCAACTCCATATACTCGCGGCTTTTGTTATTAAGATTGCCTTTCAATAAACACACAATTAATATGCCATCATTACTTTTTCAAAAGTTGAGCTTAATTCCTAAAAGCGGTGCAATATCTCCTTTTTTCGACATTACCTATGTAAAGGTTTTGATGTCTTTAGAACTCCTTCCTGTATTTAGAACTCCTTCCTGTATATCTATGCATTCTTAAATTATTTAAATCGCAAAGTACTATATTTTTGTGTTGGTGTTCTGTGAACCAGTATTCAGCATACTTGGGACGTGTAGAAAAACTATGCAAGTCTCCCTTTTGCGTGTTACGTTGTAATGTAATTTACATTTAAAAACGTGAAGAGAATATTTAATTATATTAATTAATATTTAATTTATTTTTGTCCTGAATATGGATAATTTATTTTTCCACCTAACGCCTGAAGATATGATCCTCTCGTATTTGGGACATGGATAGTGTGGGATGGGGAGGGTTTTTGTACAGCTCATCCTTTATTTTATGTAGGCCTGTTAGAGAACATTTACAATATTAGTCACAGTTTGTTAATAATTGATTCCAGACCATTGTGATCGTGGAAAACAGATCTGCAAAGGAGGGAGAGATGTTAAAAATGTTTAAAGCATGAAAACATCTTCTGTTATGATCAGGAAATAAGGAAGAGCTATGAACTTTTTTTAAATTTATCGTAAATTTATATTTATATTTACCATACAACTTCCCTTTTTCCCTTTTGATTTTCGGTATTTTTTATTACCAGTAAAATCAGTTTTAACATTTCGGGATCTCACTGATCTATACCAAGCGATACTAATGGTCAATTTCTTTTATTTTTAAGTTCTTCAACTAAACGACGTTCTTACTTGTGGTTTGTGATCTTAAAGTGGGGTTTTAAAAGCCATGTTAATTTGTTAGTGGTGAAAGTTATATTTTCAAGAAATGGATAAAGCTCGTACCATAATGATTGCATAGCGTACAAAAATACTCACCTTTTTACCATAATCAAATATTTTGTACGGCCGCATTATCAAAATAAAGCAGGACCATATTTCTATTCAAATCAATCAAAGTTGATAAACTCTTTGAAAATATTAAATTGCGTTGATAAAAAAAATAAAAATTCTCATTTTTAAGTTAAAATTTTTGACTTAATCTTTTCATAAGCAATACGTATGAAAAAATTCTACGTTTCGTTTTGGTAGGTGCCTGAAGCAGAGAAATAATTGTTTTGAAAAAGATATTCATCAGTTCCTTTTTTTTGCTTGGAAATTTTCACATAAGCTTATTTGAAAAGTAACAAAAATATTAATTCAATCTTACAAACACACTTAAAAACAGGACCAACATTTCTCTACTATTATTGCATTGTTGCGAACCCAATGAAGTCAGCTTTGTTGGCTTTGTTTGTGTGTTATAACAATAAAACCATGACAAATCGTTTGTTCAATCTTGATTTACTATTAGAATGAATGAAAATCCGACATACAATTTTCATATAATTTAAAATAGAATTCAAAACTATAATGAAAAAAATTAACAAGTGAATGTAATCAAGTTGATTTCAATATAATATTGATCGTACCTTTGTCTATAAATATAACCGAGTTGGCGTTGTACAGTTTTTTTAGTTTGAGATTTTTTTTTAATCTGAAAAAGATGTGAATGTCTCTTGATTTTTTGTGTAGTTGGGGAGGTGATACAATTCTATAAAAAAAAAAAAAAAAACTGAAAAACTACCCAATGTATAATGTGTTATTTCAAATCTGAGAAGGCGTCAAATATTGATTCTTAGGATAGGATATCATTCGTTTCTTCCTATACCTTTTTTTTGAATTGAATATAAGTGCAAACTTAATTTCAATTTATTTTAGAAAAAAAAGAGGAACAATTTTCTAGTCTCTTTCGTAATTTAGTCGTGAGGTCTTCTATTTAATATTATTATGAATGTAGAAACACACAAAAATACACACAAATTTCCCCACAAAATGGTATACTAACCAAGAATATCATTTTCTTTTTCCTTACACAAAAAATTATCACTTCTCAGGAAGACGATGAAAATGAAGATTTAGTACAGTTAGATGATGATGAAGAGACACCGATGCAACCACAAATTGATCCATCTGAGTTGTATGAACCAGAAAATCCCACAGAGGAAAATGAAGATGAAGATGATAATGGCGATAACAACGATAGAGATACAATCGCTAAAAAGGATGGTAACGAAACTAACGATCGTAATGAACGCGACGACGAGGATGACGACGATGATGATGGCGACGACGAGGATGTTAATAAATATAAACTTGATGATGAATCTGAATGTGAAAAAGGCAATGATAATGCATCAATTGCAGAAAAGAAATCAAATAACAAGGATGAGTATGAAAAAGGAAAAATAACTGACAGCGATGAGGAAGAAGTGAATAATGAACAACCAAAAAAGAAAACATCAAAGGTAAAAGGTATGTCCACTGATGAAGACGAGAATAGTAATGAAAAAGGTCAAAAGGCAACAAAGGATGATGGCGATGATTACGATGATGACGATGACAGCGACGACAATGAAGATGTTACAGGTAAACGTTCCAAGAAACAGTCAAATAATTCGGGAAAAGACAAAGACGATGATCGTCGACCCAGAAATGAGATTGATAACATTTCGATAAATAGTAGTCGCGACGATGACACATCCAAGGGACATACACCCACACTTCCCTATAATAGAAGCAGCACGGTGCGTTCACCTAGTCAATCCAGATCACTGGATAATGAGACATCAAACGCCAATCATGGCAAAGGTGGCAGTGGAGCTGCCGTTATTGAATTATATGACGACAGTGACTGGGATGAATTGAATGCCGATAAGAATGCAACTTCCAAATCTAAAGATAAAACCGCACAAAGCAAAAATGCTGAAAATACTGATGATGTGGAACCGGATCGTTCATATACACCATGTCTAGATGAGAACAACGATCCCGAAGTGGTTGAGACCAGAACAGAAGAGGTTCCTGAGGTAATTTCATTAACACCAGAAAAGAATACAAACAACGCAGCAGAAAAATCCAAGGAACCTGAAGTCGAGTTGATCATATCGGAGGAAGAACCCGAATCTGCAAATCGTAAGAAAAGAGGTGGGAATCTATTGGATCCCATTGATGATGGCAAGGGTGCTAGATTTAAGAAGGTCAAAAAACGTAAGAAGCGCAATTATCGAGGGGACAAGGCACCATTTAAAAACCGTTTCAGACAGAGGTCATTTTCTCGTTCTCGATCTCGTAGTCGTTCGCGTTCTCGTCGTCGATCGCGATCACGTTTGAGGTCATCTCGTTCGCGTTCACGTTCATATGGTTCATACCGATCAAGATCCCGTTCGCCAGGACGTGGACGTCGACGTGGCAGATCACACAGTCGGGAGAAGCGTCGCTGGGGTAGCAGTGGAAACTTGAGGGGCAGAAGTTGGGACGGTGGTCGTATACCAAGAGCAAAGCCTAAAAGACGTGAGATACCACGTTACGATGTTCGCCATTTAGTTGCAAATAAGCCAGTCAGAGATCGTTTTGGTCGTGATAATTCACGATCGAGAAGACCAAGTCGATCAGTGAGCCGACGACGAAGCCCGTTTTCAAGATCACCATTTTCACGATCCCGCTCGCGTTCACGTGTACGCTCTCGCTCCAGAAGACGCTCATTCTCCCGTTCAAGATCGCGAACACCTCATTCACGATCGCGTTCAAGAACAAAAACTCGCTCCATTTCTAGGTCGCGATCAAAATCACGGTCGCGAACCCCTTCACGTTCTAGATCACGCAATCGTCGCCCAAGCATAAGTCTGTCACCATCTCCACAGTATAATCGCAGACGCTCCATGTCGCCTGTGCCACGTCGCTTTAGTCCAATACGTAGACGATCCATTTCTCCCAGAGTAAGGCGATCGCCAATGCGACGCAGATCTCGCACTCCTCTACGAATTTTAAGATCTCGTTCATTGTCTCTGGGACCAGATCCTCGACTCAATGGTCATAAAGGACCACAGCGTTTCAGGAGTATCTCACGTCCCCGAAATCTCAGTAGAGATAGACTGCGTTCGAGATCACGATCGCTTTCATTATCGCCCCGTTACACGCCACAAATGAACCGACTTCGTTCAAAGAGTCCTCCGGCAAAGGGCAAAAAGAAAAAATCGAAGGATGTTCGAAAGAAAAAATCCAAACGTCGTCTGCCTAGCTTAAGTCCATCGCCGAATAGAAGGATTGCCCGTCAGGCGGATCCGTTCTCTCTTGAAAAACCATCAAAGAAAAAAAGGCGCCACATGCCTAAAGAAAAATCGCCCATCGAAGACCATGAGTGGTCTCCTTCACCTAGCCCAGCACCACCAGTCATAGCCAGCAATGTCGATTATCAACCAGCCGATAAAAATGTATCGTGGACTCCACCGATGCATTCGCCTATATCGGCCCACTATCCTCCGATTATCAGACGCACCGTTTCGCCAGTAAGTCGAAAAGAAAAAACGAAACGCTCCAAAAAGAAGAAGAAGGAAAGCTCTAAGCGTAAGACCCTACGTAAGGAAAAGAAACGCAGACGGCGAACCGAGACGCCAGAACCCATTCCCTCGAAGGAAGTGTTTGCCTCTGGAAATAATATTTTGGTTAGTGTAAGCTTTAACAAGGAAAATACCACAAATGCCACACATGGACAACAGACCATCGTCACATTGCCACCCAATCGCGAGGATTTGCTTCCAAATAGACGTGTTTCTATCGATCATGTTGCCAAGAGTAGCACTTCGTCTAAGAAACGAAAGGAGAAACGCAAGAAAGTGGAATCGAAGCCAGTGGCCATTATTGATTTGGAACGTTCGCCATTCCAAGTGGAACAAGAACAAGCCGATGTTATCGTACTTACAGACAGTGAAGAAAATCGTGAGCGTGCACAAAATGATCAACGACGAGACAGACGCCGCAGTGAATCGTCGTGTCCCAGGGACAACGACATGGATATGCATCGTAGCCAAAGGCAAGAAGCAGACAGTAGCCAACGCGACAAATCCCCCGAACGTTTGGACACAATTATGGAAGAATCATATGATATACCACAGACAGGACCGAAAACACCTCCGGAACCTCCATCAGTTAAATTTAACTTGCAATCGAAGAAAACAAATAAGGTACGAAATCCATTGCACGAAGATGATGATTATGACATGCCATCGACGTCGGAACAACAGCAAGTGCAAGATGCACACAGTGCTGACATGGAGGCGATGCATGTTCAAAGCAGTCAAAAGATTGGTCCAAATACTCCACCGGAATCAGGGCCGTGCTCTCCCGACGCTTACGATCCCTTTGAACCGACAAAGTCCCCCTCAATATCGCCTCGCTCGCCAACACCACCCCCTTCGAAAATGGACGTGTCTCAAAATACCGACGTTAGCGGTGATATCGGTTCCACACAGAAACATCACGATGATCCGCAGCGCAGAGAACAAATGTCCGGTATGGTAGGAAATATGGCGCAGAGCGCTTCACTCAATCCCATTGACTTAGTCATGGCTCTAATGGGCTCCAAAGCCATGGTTGGAAATAGCCAAGACATGGCAAAATCTAGCGATTCCAAGCAGTATGCAAATGCCGATGAAAATTCATTCCGCAATAAATCCGACGACAAGTCAATTACGGTACTCTCTAATGTACTTCTATCTTCGGGCAATGGCATATCTAGTCCAACACCGCCAAATGTATCTAAGAAAATGTTGCCGTTACCGAAAATTACAGGCAGTGTCGGCGGCAGCAGTAGCAGTGGTGTTAATATGCGAAATGGTGGGGCATCGAACAACAACGACGATGCGTACACTTTACGCGATGCCGATAGTCCCTATTCTCCTGGTTCGGCGGACTACGAAGACCTATTTGAGCCACCACCCGATACCAGTACATCGAAACGTTATTCGAAACGTGGCAATGCCGGTGGTTCTGGCAAATTAGATTCATCGTTCGATAATCTCTTTGGCAGCACATCGCCCGTTTTAAGATTGCCCTCGTACACACCCTCCAAAAAACCAACAGCGGGCGGTGCATCGCGGCCATCTAAAACTAAAGGTGGGTTTTATCATATGAATACTTCTTCTTACCTTCTTCTAGTCTGTAATATTCCAATGTGGCAATTGCTGCGGTGAAAAGGTTTATTTTATGTACTCTTATATTCATTTATTTTTTGCCTGATTCTACAAAACTTGGGGAAGTGTTTTCAATAATCAATTTTACTTTCTGTTAATACAATTCAAGTCAATGCAAAAACAAATGTCTCTCTAAAAGATTTTTTGTTTTTGTTAAAGAAGAAATTTGTTAATTTTCCAATATATATTTGTTTTTGTATTGAGTGTTTGTTGTGTCAACAGTTTAGAAGTGATATGGTAACCGCCAAATTGTTGGTAAGTTCAAATAAAATATTTATACCTTTAATTTGCTGAACCTTTAATATTGCATATAAAATAAGAATATGAAATTTTTTTTTGTGATATAACGCAAAAAGTTTGTTATATCCAGTGGATGACATAAGCATATTTTTATGTATAAAGTAACATTTAATATCAATGTCAGCGTGAAAAGTTCTCACAAATTAATATTATTCATCGGATATCTACAAACGAAGAACCATGAAACGCAATTATTAAATTAAATATTGAAAGAAATAGTAACCTATATGCCGCGAAAATTTAAAAAACTTAAAGCCTATGTTGAAGGTTATAATTCGTTACTTCAGTTTGTAACGACGAACATAAAAGTATTATCTCAATAAATGTAATTGAATGGAGGCAAAAAACAGCTACTTGAAAAGAGGTTTTTGACCAGCAATACATTAATATAAAACGCTCGTGAAAGTAATAATCGAATATATAAATATCTTAATACTGAAATATTTTACTGCCATGCTAACCTCAGTAAGGACCATGTAACATTTGAGTAGTTTGTTTTAGGAAGAACAGGAGAATTTTAGAAACTAATTCAATTCATTTGGCTCTGTCCCGAACTGATAAGATACATAATATTCTAAGTACATCAATTATTTTAAATAAATAAATAAGCTCTAAAAAATCAATTTTTTGAAAGAAGTATTGAGATACAGAATTTTCGAATATTGGTATATTAATTTTAAAATAATTTAATTTTCCAGTAGACTGTTTATATGAAAATCATACTGTAATATTCTTTGAAACCACTATAAGGCGAATTATTTTGTAAAAAAAGTAAATTGCCTTGACAAGAAATGAAGAATTAAAAGTTTTTTTTTAACATTATTGTTTGAGGACTGCAAAATGTAAAATTTTTTACTACGATAATCGATTTTTCCAGTATGATATCACAAAAAATATTAGTAGATTCTTGTAGGTTCTGGATTAGATTATATGTTTTTATTTTCTGATTTAAATATTTCATACCAAACAAATAATTTAACGAAGATTTCAATTATCGATTCCAAACAACTAATACGCGCTCTTGGGTAACATTTAATGTATTCATAGTACAGTAATTATAAGGTGGGTCATAGAAATATCTGAATACATTTTCTTCTCATGGTACTCTTGTAATTTCAAAACGTATACATAGTTTATATTTGTATGTATTGTTTTGAATACAAAATAATTTTGAAAATTCTGTTAAAAGTTAGAGTCTTGTGTATTTCAAATGTAATCAACCTGTCCTACCATGTAATGATTGTGTCGTGTAAGAATTTCACTTTTGTGGTAATTAATATGGTAAGCACCATTTTGCTGGGAACCAATGCAATCAATAAGGTCACATAGGTTGCGAATTCAGACCCTGCAGGGTGAGATAACAAAAAAACTGCAACAAAGTCAAACTCAAAATTTTTACATTTTCTTTTAGAATTTTATTGAATGAAAGCAAAAATGTCGGAAATAGCATCAAATTTTAGAACAAGTTTAGATTTCTTCGAATTGGTCACTTTTGGCACGAATTATGGCCTTCAAACGGCCAATGAAACCGTCACACGCTACCTGAATGTTACTCTGCGGTATTTTGGCCCATTTTCGGCAAGTGCTTGTTTGAGGTGATCGACACGATGGTATTTTTTAGTGTCAACTTTGCTTTCCATAATACTCTAGACACAATAGTCCAACGAATTGGAATCCGAAGATTTGGTGGCCATTGTGCGCTGGAAATGAAGCGAGAAACCTCATTTTGTAACCATTCATGGGTGGCGCGAGCTGAGTGCTATGGTGCTGAGTCCTGTTTTTATGTCCAAGGTCTGCGACCAAAATGTTTGCGTGCCCAAGGCTTTAATACACTCTCCAGAATATTTTCGCAATAATATTCGGCATTTATTCTGATGTCACGGTCGATTAATACGAGCGGAGAGCGACCATCGACTGTTATGGCGCTTGAGTTCTGGAAAGTAGTATATTTCGAACTTATTGCGAATTAGCATATACGAATTAAACACTAGAAACTCTCCAAGTTCGACTCAAGTTCTATTAGCAGATCTTTTTCACAGCAAAGTTTGTTTTTGTAGTGATGGATTTTTTGTCCACAACAACTACATTGCTTCCAATGCATACACTTGTTTTAGTGCTGCTTTAGGAAGACGGGTTAATAACTCTGAACGTAGAGACGGCAACTTCTAGTTGGCTCACACTGTCACGCTTGAATTCCATCACGAATAACTTTTTTTGTGGAAAATTCTCACCAAAATTCTTTTGTACGCTCGTAAACAATATATAGAGCTGTCACTGGAATAATTTTAACAGATGTCGAACGAGTGTCTTAGATATGATAGCAGTCTGAAGTTGGTTGCAGTTTTTTCATCTCACCCGTGGTCTAGTCATATCTTGACTTCAAGTATTTTTACGAGGAATCTGTCACAACAGAAGAAAACACAAACAAATGTTTAAACCTTTTACACCTACATTTTCGTCCAAAAGGAACACCTGAACTTACCATGTCACCTGGTAAATATATCTTGGTAGGAGTACAACGATATTTGAACACAATAGAATCAAGAATATATAAATTGATATTTATTCCTTTTATTAAAGATTTTGTCAAATACTAGTCAAATTTTGTCTTAATTTAACAAGAAAATTCAGAAAAAGTCGGAACTATTTTCATATAAAAATTACACTTTTAGGCAATTTAAAGTAGAGTCGACGCCAACGTATTTGTTATCTCTCAAAAACAGTGGAAATAAATAGAAATCCATAAATCAGGGTCACGTCAAACGTGAAAGACTAAATTGTTCAGTTGAACACTCCAAATTTTTGGGATTTTATTTTATGCCTCATTATTACTTTTCAAATAACCTATGGCAATCACGCCAAATTAGGAAACGTTTAATCCACAGCGGTTGATATGCCCCAGCTCATATTATATCATATTTGGCCTATTTAAAAAAAAAAAAAAAAAAAAAAAAACTATGAACTCTCACTCGATCTGCTCAAGTGTTATAAACTAAACCCGAAGAACAAAAACTGAAAATTTGGCTTGGATGGTTATGCGGCATTTTTGACTAATATGTTTAAAATATATTATTATGGGTTTGTTCACTGTGTCTGTGAAAATTAAAATATAACCAAAGCACACATTGCCTGCCTATCTGGTGATCCTTTTAACAACGAATTTCTTATCATTAAGCCCATTTTGAAAGAGAAAGAAACAGACGAGATATATTGTTCAATTCTCGTTTAATTTGCAACTTTTTTTCATTTAAAAACCATATATTAACCATCTATTTTTTAATCAGCAATTAAAAGCCTTCACATCAAAAACATACATATTACGCACTTTATAAACCTGGAGTTAACATTTTAACAAATTCTTGTATTCTACTTCCCAGCCTTTAATATTATATACCTCGTTTTAAAGTTGACCGAAGAGCATATTACTTAAACTCTTTTGCACAATGGTTCCACAACCAATCTTTCTGTGCAAATTTATTTCAATGTTTTTTTATAATAAAAATTGGCCACCACCCTGTCTAAATCGTAGAAGCCAACAGCCACCTTAATATAAAATTTCAAGGTCAAAGCTCGATCCATTCGGCCCAGCGGCAAATTTTGTGCCGTTTAGTACATTTTGAACATTAATAGTACACATTCCCATATCCACCTCTTTCTCTCAAAACTTTATACCTACAGTAGCCTCCATATAACAATTCAGGATTTTAGTACGCATTTTCATAACAATCTCCATATCTCAACCTCAGATACCAACAGTTACCTTAATATACAATTTCAGCCTTTTTCCCCATTACTGAATATAGTATCATTTAGTACAATAATAGGGCATATCAAAAACCATCGCCTTCTCCTCAACTACAGGCGCCAGCAGTAACATCCCTAACTAGTTTAAGGATTTCAGCTCTATTCCATAAACCAATACTAAATTTAGTACAATTAATTCCACATACCAACAGAGACCTCAATATCAAATTTCGAGATTCCAGCTCTATTCCTTCCCCTATACCCAATTTAGTACTAAATAGTACTTTTCGAACAATTATAGCACAATTTTTTCCAAACCATCGCCAAATCTCAAACACAGATACCAGGAGTAATAGGAGATATCAAATTCCAAAATTTTATCTCTTTTCTCCATCTAAAACTAAATATAGTACTTTTCGTACAATTATAATACACATTTTTGAAACCACCTACATATGTATGTCCAGGCTACACATGAACTAGGCCCAATGCCAAATTTCAGATTTCGAGCACCCAATACCAAATCGTAAATTTCAGCTTTATCCGTTCACCTTAAGCCAAATTAAGTACCAAATTTAGTGCAGTTCGCGCACTTAGTACACATTTCCAAAATCCCCTTTATGTATCAAACATACTTTCCAACATTGATTTTCGTGCCAAATTTGGGGTTGTTAGCTCTATCCACTTACGTAATACCAAATGATACCATTTTAGTAGCCGAAACCCTCTTTCCAAATTTCAGAATTCAAGCTCCTTCCGTTTGTCTTATATAAATCATTCAATTCTTAGTACATTTTAGTATTTACAAACATATTTTTAAAATAAAATGATAAAAAGTTCGGCCTGTTCGATGAGAAAACCAACAAGTAAACTAACCCT